TTATTTAAGTTATCCGCAGTCACATTTCTAGTCTAAGATCTTTGAGTGACCAACACGGATTTCAACGTTCTGAGCTAGTCGGGAGCCGTATTGGATCTTTGGACTATTTCGTTCGTTTTCAGTGGTTCTGGTAAAAACGACCTGGCGCTCCAGTGTTATCGTTTCAGGGTTGTTTTGGTGTTAGAGGGCTGTGCAGTGGACCGGGTCCCTGATACACCGAAAATTACGTCACATCACAAAAAAAAATTGTCCTGGAATTTGAGTTCAAATTTACTTCGAACAGTGGGATATTAACATCATCCTATAGAATGAGACTGGGAACCCGGTTTTTGCGGTTTTTCCGTGCAAAATTCTATATTCAACAGTCTACGTTTTAATGAAATTCGTGCATATCAAGATGGTGGAAATATTTGGAAAATACTCATTTCTAGCAATATATAAACTGCAAAAATACTGAGAGTTCTAACCTGGCCCGCTAGAGGGATGTTAGCATTCCGATTTTCTAGACAAATTTTTCGCTGTATGTATTTTTGTTGAAAAGTTGACTCAGCTATCACTTTTTAGGGGGCGACCTCGTGAAAATTGAAAATTCTTTAAAAGTTCCCTTAGCCATACTTCTTTTATTTCACAATTTCCATCTGATGGAGATTTTTGTATTCGACAATTTTCATTAGTCTCTAGAAACTGAAATTAAGTATCCATTTTATGTCATAAATCATGTTTGTGAAAAAAAAGTTTCTTTGAATGCACCCTTTTCTGTTTGTTCTTGCATAATGTCTAAAAAATCGAGTCGAGCAGACTAAATCAAAGATTCATTTTTCCTAATCCATTCTATGGAATGGAAAATGAATACTTAATTTTATTCTTTGAAGTCTGATGAACATTGAAAAAAAATCTGAATTGTATGAAAATGACCATCCAAGAAAAATTTTCCCCCTGGTGGCTTTGCGCAGCGGGTAGAATAGTGCGATCTAACCATTTAAAGTCGTGACCATCATCGCAGTATACCCTAACCGGGTCGAAGCGATGTCAAATAACGATGAAAAAAAGGAAAATTTTGGAGGTGGAAATGGGAAATGACGTTGAAAATTTACTTAATGGGTGTCTTCACCAACCGAAGATACTTTTATTTTACCGACAAAGCGGAATGCCGACGTCTCAACGGAAGCATTTTACTACGCTTTTCACCTTACAAGGAGAGGGCGACTGACGTCGGACACCGTCGGACAATCTTTATGTATTTGAAGGGTGTCATTAATGGTGTCCCCCAACCAAAGACCTAGGGGCAGATGCCCAAAAATAAGAGAGAAGTTTTGTCTGAAAGATTTGGGCATAACATATGTATAAGTGCGTAACATAGTTTTCGAAATAGCGCTTTAGCCGAATAGCAGCGTGTCCGCCGACTAATCCGGCGATCCGGGTTGAAAACTTTTTTTTCTGATGTATGTATTTTTTTAATGTTTTATTTTTTCATTTAACAAGAAAAGTTCGTTTCACGAGAATTTAGTTATTTAAAAATAAATGAATGAATACCCATTGCCTTTGGGATGACTCATCGAATGTTCAACCGGTTATAAATTTGAGTGCAGGTAATATACAGTGAATAGTGGGCCCATGTGGCCCCCCGGCCTTCGGCGCCATCACCATTTCTGGTGACGTCTAGTCTGCGGTGCCGAGCGGACGCGTCTCGACACGTTCTACCGAAAAAAACCAGATCATAAACGTGAGAAGCAAAGGAAAGAGGGGACAAGAAATCGTTTGCACCGCCAAGATTTTGGGGCAGATATTTAGCATTTCAAGAACGTTCTTTCAAATTGCCCCGTTAGTTGTTAACTAACTTCTGAAACGAGAACACGTGCAGCTTGTGAGTAACAATATCAAAATTGCTGAACGAATCCGGAAAAATGGAACCAGAATGTCCATCTTCGTCTCATCTCTCATTGGAGGAGCCTTCTCACGATTCTATCATAATCTCATGGTGGAGGAGGCCCCGAAGTCCATTTCATCGCAGGCAACACTGATCGGAGACAAAATATTTCGCCGTACCGAAATATTGGGAGATGAGATTTTGGTAGAAGATCATGAATTGATCCTCAACTATGAAGATGATGCGGACCAGCTGTACGAAACAGTGATTGAAGACGAGGGACCCAAATCTGACGATGAAGAGTACAAGCCTCTCAAAAAAGAAAGGAAAATTGAATACATTCTCGTGAAAATCAAAATGAAAGTGGTGAGATTAGTAAAGCTACATCCCAATTAGAAGCTGTCATCACTCCAAGGTTTTATTAACTTGGGCGAAAGACTTCAAGAGGAAATGAAACATTTGCCAGAGTAACGTCACGAAATACATCAGCCACAAGGAGCACAGCACGATGACGGAGGTCCCAAAAGCAGAGAAAAGATTCTGCACACAATTGGAAGCGATCACCGGGGCTTATGAACCGTATCTTATCATTAAGACTGACCAGATGGGGTGCCAATATCAGTCCAGCTTTGACAGAATACTTGCAGACAACGGATCCCGGAGTGTTGGGGTCCACAAGCGTGACCTCAACAAATTCATTCATTCATACTTTGCGCAATATGGCATCGCAATGTCCGAAGAGTTGCTGTCAAGTATACTGCTACGCTTGCAGGAGCCAACAGAATCCTTCGGCCCGCGAGCAAAGATAACTGTCGACAATTTAACACAGGAATTCGGTGATGTTGTACCTAACTCGAAATCGGTTAAACTTACAATACAATTATACAGTGTCCCATTTGAAACAGTACTTCTCAATACCTCTTGTAAGAAGGAAGGAACACTAAAATTGTTCAAATACAAGTTGTAGGGTTTGGAGGGGGAAACATAGTGCTGATGGAATCCAGGCCCCATTGCTTATATTTCTGTGCTACGAGCATAAAGTTAGTTTTTTTCAATGACAACAATATTTTTCACTCCTACAAAAGTTGTTTATGTCGCCGAGAAAAGTTCAACCATACCATATTTTTCGATGACTTCATCGTTTTCCTGTGAATAATCGTACGGAAATCAACAGAAAACCACATGGTTCTCCATATCTTGGGGAGATAATGCTTGCGTCAACGTGACATGGTAAAGATGGTACCGACCAGATCTCAAGATTCTGTGGACCGTGTCCACAGTTCAATGTTCTGGAAACTAATGTGAGGATTCATATTTATCATTGCTAAAACAGCAATGCTGCGTGGATTGCCAACATTGAAAACATGCTGGCGTTGTCGTTGCCCAATTCTTACCTCCCGACAATTTCGTTCGATTTGGTGAATAACTGCAGCGGAAGGATGTCGTCGTCGATTTGGAAAGCGCAGTGTATACAATCGTGTGGCCCTTCAATTTACTTGCCAACACTCACCTAATATGACTAAAATATCCACACATTCACTAGCAGAATAAACCATTTTGAACGACACTGTATGAACTCAATGATGGATATTTTGCCACTGACGGAAAATGAAGAATAACACCTAGGTGTTATAACGTCCCATACCTACCTCAGTCATCTTTTGTTAACATGGTACATTGACGAGATGGTAAATAAATAACATTTGAGCGTTTCGGTGCGGCAAGATAGTCCGAATAAAGATATTTCCCTTTCGTTTGATTTTCGTACGATTATTCACATGAAAATGAAAAAACTGACTTTATGCTCGTAGCATAGAAATATAAGCAATGAGGGACTGGATTCCATCAGCACTAAGTTTCCCCCTCCGAACCCTACAACTTATATTGGAACACTTTTGCTGTCCCCCTTTTCCTACGAGAGATATTAAGCCGTACTGTTTCGAATGGGACACCCTATATACATTTCTCGGAAAAGTTATACAGTCTTACCTTAAAGAAAACAGATTTTTATTTATAGTTGATTCATGTGGAGGGCAAACGAATTCAGTAATTTACGATGAATTATTTTCCGACGAAGATCAATTACCGACGTGTACGGTAAAAATTATTTCTCCGAAATGTACTTCGTCTTGTTAGCCGTGTGATATGTACTTCCACCGTCAAGTTAAAAAGTTTACAAACAACATCAAAATTGTTCTTATCTTATAAAATATAGGAGTGAAAGCACATCTCGGGACGATCCGATCAAAGTCCATTCGCTCCTACATCATCCATTATCTACTCCCATATTTCGCGAGATGATCGAATACGCCTAGTTGTCATCGAAATTGACCGACGAAAGACACATTTTTTCAAATGTTTCCCATTCGAAAAACTGCAAACCCCCTGTGCTTGCAACGAGACTGCTTTCGTCTGTTGCCGTCGATGTCATATAAATTTATATTTTGTATGTTTCTATGATAATTATCATCTGAAAAATTGTACACCTGAACCCGAACCTATAGAAGACCAATAGGAACATGTCGCCTGAATATCTCTTACAGTATTTAATTATATCATAACATTCAATTGAATAGATCCCTCAATCATATTTCTAGTTATCAAATTCCCATGAAATGAATATTTGTTGTTAAATGAGAAAATGAAATAGAAAAAATATCTATATATCAGAAAAAAGTTTTGAACCTGGATCGCCGGGTTGGTATGCGGACGCGCTGCTACTCGACTGAAGCGCTATTTTGAAAACTATAAGTTAGGAATTTATACATATCTGATGTCCAAATCTTATAGAAAAAATTTCTCCCTTATTTTTTAGCATCTGCCCCTAGGTGTTTTCTGGAGAACACCACTAGTGACATCCTTCAAATTCATGAAGACTGGATGCTGTCGGTGTCCGACATCAGCCGGCCTCTCGTTGTTAGTAATTTTCGATATGCCTACTACATCAAACTGTAAAAATGAAAAGTGGGAAACAATTCACTTTTCTTTGATAAACTCATTTTTTCATAGTATTCATTCGTTAAAAAAATGAATTAAGGAAATAATCGCACGTAAATTGATACTTCCATCTCATAACTCACTCATCATTGGAGAATCATTTTTTTTCAACACACCTAAACCGTGGCCCGGTTAGGCTTGTGTTCTGTTCCAGTGCCTTTGCCCGCATTGTGCCCCCGTCCTAGTAGTTCTTCTCTGCACGCTTCGCCCACAAAGTGCAACTTGCAGGGAATTAAAACTAAAAAAATCATGTATGACGCTGCAGAGAACGACGACTTTGATCGTGAAGAGATACCAACCTATGAGGAAGTTGCTAAGCTCTATCCAAGACCTGGTTTGTATCGTCCTGTTGTATTGATTGGACCACCTGGAGTTGGAAGGAATGAACTCAAGAGGAGACTTATGGCTACGGATCCAGATAAATACAAAACGCCCGTTCCATGTAAGGAAATTTTCATGATAATAAAACTTGTAATTATTTTTGTTCATTAATCAACTCAGGAAACGAATGAGTGAGGAGACATCTTGAAAGCTATTCAACTGATTTTTATAAATTTGCTTTTTCAAAACATCCATCTCGATATTGTTAATCTCAATAATTCAGGATGTGTATAACCATTAGACTGTATTAAAAAAATTAATTATTTTTTTTAGCTCTCACCACTAAACAATATGTGTTATGAGGTTATTATTGAAATCTTTTGGTTAGGGCGTAGAACGATTTTTTTTCTCGCCGCTCATTGAGAAATTTTTTTCTTATTTGATTAACATGTGAAAACCGAAGTTACCCCACCCAACTACGCGTCTCGCTGCAGAAGTTTATTCAGTCATTATATTTATCTATGTATTTAAATAAAATATACGAACTTGATACCGGATCTGGTTTTAGTGGAATATTGGAGCGATGGGCAAGAAAACAATAGATTTTAAGGGAGTGAAGCGAAGATCTAGTTTAATCACTACACTTGCGTTGGTAAAAAATAGTTTAATACAAATAATGTCAAAATTTACGCTAGTAATTATTCAATTTCAATTTATTGTTTCGATACATATTCCGTACAAAGGTGAGAAAGGTTGGCATCATCAGAACGCATTGAAATACTGTGAGCTTGAAAAATTAATTAGTTTTGCATTTACACTAGTCCAGAATTTATATAAGGCAACAACGTTATTCATGGATGTAGCGTTGAAGATACTTAACATAGAGAAAATCAAGTTGTAGTTACGTATAGTTTTATCAATCAACAAGCGCCTTTTGTTTTCAAACAGCGTTACATTTAATATAAATATGAGTCAACTGATCAGCGACGTTTGCCAAATAATTCCGGCAAGTCAGCTCCATGCTGAATTTCAAGTTTATGTTTTTTGAGAACAAATGAGGTGCGAAGGAATTCTGTTACCTAGATTGGGCGAAGATTTTTATGATTCCATATTGGAGTTTGTGATTGAAGTAAGGCAGATCGTGTGAGAAACGGTAGAGGGGAAGGGAGAAGTGGTTCGTCTCATCTTATCCTGAATATTTACATCTTGTTTGTGGCTTCTTATGTCTTCAGAATATTGTCTGACGACATCAGCGGTTTCGGGGTCTTTCAAATTGTTGAGAGACGTTAACTAATTAGATTGTTGATCTGAGTACACCAATTATATTCATCTTTCGTATTGGAGTTTTGCGATAGTACTAAGAGCTTCAAGTAACAATTTTGTAACAATTTTGCATTGCACGAATCGCAAGATTCATGGATTTCGAGGAGCTTTTCAAACCAATTGAGTGAGCTTTTTATAATATTACAGGAAAACGGGATAGCGCCAAACTCTAAGCGCATCCCCGTGCGTAATTGAGACAACTCGAGGGTAATGATCACAATTTTTTAGGATAATTAAATTATATGGAGTTTATCTGTTCGGTGAGGCGTAATCCTCAACACTCAATTCCATGAAATAATCCGCTCTTTGCGAGTACATTGTAAACATATTCCTTGCTGTGCATTTTGGCTAGCTAGCTATCTTGGCTTTTTTGACTTGAGCAGTAAATATCAAATACTGGTAATGACATAGCCCAAAGAACAGAATTCCTCACAATTTCTATGGGTTCGTTATCGCACATGAAATGGAGTTTCCATTTAAGGAGATAGAGTAACAGTATTATTCTATCTGTTGCAAACAGAATACCAAAAAATTGTCGATTATACCATGATGACGCCGAATACCGTAAATCTATTTATCGAAATTATGATAGGGAAAATAATCTGCCGAATACCCCTTGAGCTCTAAAATGAGTCGGATTTTTTTCTAACACTTCCTTACATGCTTGGTAAGCCTACGTTTAAAGAAAGAAAAAATCATGATACCTCTTTTTGAGAAATGAAGCAAAAAAATCCATGATATCGTGAAAATTTTTTCAGATTTTTAGAAACATTATTTATGTTTGTTTCACGGAGCTTCATCTCTTATGGAGTTTTACACGTCCCGGGTTATTTTAAATATTGAAATGATTTCCTTCAGGTTACCAGGGTTCGGGACAATTGTAATTTGAAATTACCGTTACTGTATTACTCAGTCACTCAAGTAATCGAATGTGAAATTTTTCTATTAATTGGAAAATGAATAACTCAACGCACTTATAACAGATTACATAAGTAATCAATAACTGAATCGCTGTGAATATCCATTATATTCTCATTGAGTAACCGTTATTAAAAATTCCAAATTATTTCAGTAATTATAAATGAAAATATAGAATTGACCATTATTTCTTTGATCGGTATTTTATATTCAACCATTTCACATTACTTGCTTGGCAGTTCAAATGAAATATGAATTTTTCACTTCCTTGAATAATCGGTAATTGAGTTTTAATAATACAAATTTACTTGAGAAATGAGTAATGATTATCGGACAATTTTCTGTTACTGATTTAATCATCAACTCAAATCCGAAGTTATTCAATTCAGTCGTTAATTAGTGTTACTGATTATTCTTCAATTGTTGATTGATCAATGATTAATCAAAATGTTGAATTATTCAATCTGTCGAGTAATCATCAATGAAACCTATCAATTATGTAATTACACAGGTAATTACAAATTATAAATGTTGATTTCCAAGTTACTAAATTCCTGAAAATCGAAACCGGAAATTGGTGAGGAGGGGAGATTTTGCAAAGCGGGGCAGAGCGGGAGAATGTGCATTGACAATTCACAATCACAGGAGTTAAATCGGTGAGTTTTTTACAGATATCTCGGAAACTAAGAGGGATAGCGAATTTTTACTAAAAATTGAGGGGGCGGGGGAGGGGTTGTGCTTTAAGAATCCAAAATAAAAAAATAGAGTCGGTGAATTTTTCAAAGATATCTTCGAAGCTAAGGGAGAATTCACTGAATTCAAGGAGGGGGAGGGGTTGTGCTTTGAAAATCCACAACCAAACAAATTGAGTCGGTGATTTTTTCCAAGGCGTTTCCGAAAATAAAGCAAATAGTGAATTTTTACTGAAAATTTGGAGAGGGGGGGGGTAGAGACAATTTCGTATTGGGAATCCACAACCAAAAAAATTTAGTTGGCGAGTTTTTTGAAAATATCTCCAAAACTAAGGGAGATAGCGAATTTTTTAGTGAAATTTTGCGGGGAGGGATTGTGCTTTGAGAATCCAAAACCAAAATAATTGAGTCAGTGAGTTATTCAAAAATATCTCCGAAACTAAGAGCGATAGCGAATTTTTACTGAAAAAATAGGGGGGGGGGAAGGAAAGTTTTAGTAAATTCTCGATGTACAACCGATTTTCAAAAAAAAAATGAAGATTGAAAAACTTAATCGATGAATTAAATAGATATTAGTAGCGATTGATTGTTTTCACCAATACCTACATTTTAAGAAAAGATTCAATTCCATCCATTCATTAGTGAAGAATTTAAGCAAAACTTTGTTACATGCTGTAAGGGATTTTTGCTGGTGCTTCACCAGCAGAGATCCCAAACTACTTTGACATCTTCTCTATCGCTCAATTGTTGGGCGCCAGCTGGATTTTACGAGAAACTTCTGAGGCCATAAACTCGTCTACCCTGAGGACTTCTCGTGGCGGGACTAACTATGCCGAGCCAGCATCAGCGTAATACGGTAGAGTGGGCGAGGTCCACCATACTAAGAGTAATTCACTCGATCGGTCTTCGTCTTCTCAGTCAAGAGATCTCGATAAAGTGTATCTTCCAGGAGCCATTTCTCCATGTATCTTTCGCCGAAGATGTTTCCATTCCTCTGAAGTGTTTCTTTTCTCTCCAGAGTGGCTCAACTCTGGAGAGGTCGACCATTAGCTGCGAATCCTTCTCACTCCTCGGAGCGCCGAACATTGAGAGGCACATGCGACACAGGTATCCGGAGACTTATTCTGAACCACCTGTGCCCACCCTCACTCGACCTCAATGCTCGGTAAAAGCACTATCATCGCGGGCCAACACCCAGATTACTCGTCGTGGAAGCACGTGCGATCGGTCCTCCAAGAGTCGGCGTAACGCCCGGGCCACGGATCCACGCCAACACCACTTCTTTCGTCGGAAGTGATGGATCCCTGAGAACATGGAATTAAAACATCGCACGTCCTCAAAGTAATCCGATCATTCTGTTTGGGACGGCGAAGCGTCCCATTCTCTCGCTGTTTCGGATCTTGTTCTTGCAACGAACCCCCATAATCCATACGGATTAATGCCACTAACAACGGTGCCGAGTAACCGAAAAACCATCCGCTCGACTCCAATGCCTGTCACTGACTGTCCCGAAATCTACCAGGGGCTACTTCCCCTAGTCTGAACATCTCAGCGGTGGTGGGTCTTCCGTTACCCCACCACCACCAATCAGCTCGACGGCAATCGAAGGGGCGCTAGTCCTCTCACCTAGCCGTTGGTCCCTAGTCTAATTCGATAGCGCCTCTAGAATCGCCCAGTTGGAACGCCAGTACGTTTGCCTCTTTTCCCCAAACACAACTGGGCGAGTTTCTAAATATCGCGACAGCGTATCGACAGCCTCTCTATAATGTTCAGAAGCATGGTTTCACCCAAACCACGCCTCTTGGCATTATTTGATTGGTCTATTCACCTCACCCGCGGTTCACTTTGTCTGCCGTTCGATGTCACTCTCATCTCGCGCTCAGCTTCTTCAGCTGGCGCTAGATGTCACTCCCTACTTTTTCCCTCACTCTAATGATTCTTGACTCGTGGGTTTTCGTGTTGGTAAAACAGTTTACAGTAACGAGAAAATCTCGTTATACACCTCCCTTTTTGGGAGAGGTTTCGACCGAAAACCTACACTTCAAGTCGAAATCTCCTGGAGTAACTCATCTTCCGACTCTTTGGTCGGAGGGTCGTCTAAGGCTTCCTTATAGGGCTTTATGTTAGTTGAAGCTGCAAGCTCTTTCAAGTCCTTATTTACGAACTCGATTCCATTATCGGTCAGCAA